AGGCGACGCCGGACGCAGGCTGCCACCGCTGCCCAAGCTGTAGCTTCTGTAGAGAGGGATTCGGTCTACAGGGCCTCGGGCTGGTGCCCCCCGTGCACCGGGGGACACAGTCCTGTGTTTGTGCTGCTGTCGGCGCCCCTGCACCTCCCGGTCTGCACTGGGCTTCGCCGGCAGGGCTGAACAGAAACGTGGAACGAGCCAGTAAAACCCCGGCGGGGCAACAAAGCAGATTTGGTGGCTGCCCGTGGTGGGGCAACCCCACTGGAAGCTGCAGTGAGGTGCAGAGGGAAAGCTCGCCCAGGACAGCGCCCCGGGGTTTCCTGTGCTGCATCGGAGGCTGGCAGCTGCTACGATCGGCCCAGCCTGGAAGGGCCATTGGCCTGTCCCGATGCAGTAGGGTTCCTTCTGTTCTTCGATTGCCCCGTGTCCACGCTCTTCTCTTCTGCACTGACAGGGCTGTACTGGCAGCTTCACCAGCATAATGGGCTTCCTGTACCATAAGGAGGCCTCTGAGCTAGAGAAAATGGCCATGAAGTGCCGGCACTGCGGGAAAGGCTACAAGTCAAAGGCAGGGCTCGTCTATCACCTCCGGGCTGAGCACGGGCCGGTAAGTGAGTTGCCGTTGCTTCGGGAAAGGGAGCAGTGGGAGCGCCTCTCTTCCAAACCGTCTTTGGTTTCCCCTTTGGATAATGAATGTTGATCTCCTTGGGCCCACGTACCCAGCCCGCCCGGGGCCGCCTTTTCGTCTGGGAGGGGAACAGGCAGAGCCCTGGCCACGGAGGTTCTGCTGCTTTGCGGCTAGGAAGGGGCTTGATAGGCAAGTAGTCTGGACGCAGCCCCTCCCCCTTCTCTGGGGGGACAGGGCTGGCATGTTAGTGTCTTTGGAAAGCTGTGTGCTGCTCTTTTCAGCCCCCGATGTGAGCTCCAGCTCTGGGGCAGGACAGGAACCAGCGGCCCAGCCCATCAAGGCGCCTGTGTCTGGTCTCTTTCAGAGCCCAGGGGCTCTCAGGACTTGTGCCATGGCCGAGCAGAGAGCTCTCTTGCCACAGCTGCCCTGAAGCCTGGCCCGCAAGATCTTCCCTTGCCCCGGGATACGCTTGTGCCTGAGGGGAGGGGCCTGGGATGGGTGTTCTGGCCTGCGCCTGTAGGGCCTTGGTGGACGCTGCAGGCATTCCCGTGTGACCTGAGCAGACTCTGAATGGGGCTCACCCTGTTGGCCTCCTCTTGCAGGTCACTTTCCTCCATGACGACAGGAGGCCTGAGAGTCTGAAGGAGATGACCCTGGAGCCCACAAGTGCCGGCAGAGTCCAGAGGAAATCTGCGAAGGTGGCTGTCTGCTACCTCCACGAGCTGGCTAGCGAGGAGCTGGCCAAGGAGTGGCCTAAGAAGAAGGTGCTACAGGATCTCGTCCCAGATGATCGGAAGGTAAAAGGCCTTAGGTGGGACAGGTCTTGCACAGTAGAGGATCCTGCACGGCCCCTAGGACGGGTCCTCGCCATGCTGCCTGTTTCCAGGCCATGGGCCAGTAGTACCTGCCCGCGTGTAAAGTAGTGCACATTGGGAAAAAAAATCCCAGCCACACGTACAGTAGGGTGGGGACTAATTTGGCTACAACTGTTTAAGAAAGTGACCTGGGAGTCACTGGAGTTCTCTGGAAACATCCACTCAGGGCAGCGACAGTCAAGAAAGCAAGTAGAATGTTAGGAGTCAGGAAAAAGGGACAGAGAATAAGACCGAGAATATCTTATTGCCTCTATAAAAAACCATGGTACGGCCACAGCTTGAATACTGCACAGGTGTGGTCACCACATCTCAGAAAAGATCTCTTGGGGTTGGAAAAGGTTCCGAAAAGGGCAACAAAAATGACGAGGGGGTTGGACTGGGTCCCATATGAAGAGAGATTAAAAAGCCGGGGACTTTTCAGCTTAGAAAAGAGATGAAGGGGGGATATGCTAGAGTCTATAAAATCATCACTAGTGTGGAAACAGGGAATAAGGAAAAGTTATTTACTTATTCCACAATATAAGAACTAGGGGCCACCAAGTGAAATGAATAGGCAGCAGGTTTAGAACAAACAAAAGGAAGTTTTTCTTCGCCGAGTGGGCCGTTGTAGCGCCGTGAAGGGTTTGGGCCTACAGTGGCTCCGAGTGAACGGAGGCGTTGGTGTGATGCAGTGGCCAAGAAGCAGAAGGTAACTGTCCTGTGAGCTGTGGCAGCCCTGTATTCCCACGCACAACGCCCATCGCTTCCTTCTCGCTGCTCAGGGCGCTGTTCCTGCCTCAGCCTTCCGCCGTGTTGAGTCCTTGCAGTGGTGGTTGTTGAGCAGGGCCTGAGTGAGAGTCGGGGGTTGTGCTAAGCAGCTTGGCCTTCGGTGGAACGCCTTCCTTGTGCTCCGAGCGGTGTCCCCGCAGGGTGTCTGTTCCTAACAGGGACCCCGCAGACCGGCTTGGGAGCTTCTCTGGCTGTGAGCCTTAGAAACAAAGGGATTGGAGACTCAAGGAGCACTGTGGGGGGCAGGCCGGGCTCAGCATCAGCCATGGTATCGGCTCCTCAGATGGCATCAGAGCCACAGCGAGCTGCTGTTCCTCGCCAGTCCGCTGCAGTTTGTGGCGGGGGGGGGGCCCTCGATTTGGGGAAAAAATACTGAAGAACAGGTCCTTCAGTCTAGCAGAGAGAGGTATAACATGATCCCAAATTCAGACTGGAAATAAGGCGCCCGTTTGTAGCTAGGAGAGTAATTAACCAGTGGAACAATTTGCCAAGGGACATGCTCCAGTCTCCATCCTCGGCAGTCGGATGTTTTTCTAGAGGGTCAGCTCTAGACGATCTCTGGCCCGTGTTCTACAGGAGGCAGGTCCTTCAGTCTAGCAGAGAGAGGTATAACATGATCCCAAATTCAGACTGGAAATAAGGCGCCCGTTTGTAGCTAGGAGAGTAATTAACCAGTGGAACAATTTGCCAAGGGACATGCTCCAGTCTCCATCCTCGGCAGTCGGATGTTTTTCTAGAGGGTCAGCTCTAGACGATCTCTGGCCCGTGTTCTACAGGAGGCCAAACGAAGGGATTGAAAGGGTCTCTCAGTCCAGCTGGGGCGTGAGGGGAAACAGCACAGTCTTTACCTGTGTAAAGAGGTGGTATGAAGACAATGGGGATCAGCTGTTCTCTGTGCGGAGGTCGGACAAAGAAGAAATCCGCGTACTTTGCAGCCGGGGAGATTCCAGGTAGATATCCGGGAACCTGTCCAGCTCTAAGGACAGCTGAGCGCTGGAGCAGGGTTGCCTAGGGAGGGTGGAGTGCCAGCCGGTGGAGGGTTTAGGAACAGGTTCAACACCTTCTCCTGGACAGTCAGGGTCTCAGTCCAGGGGAGTGCCCAGGTGACCTCTGGAGGTCCCTTTCAGGCCTGTGATTCTGTGGGGGGGAGAATCACTGCGTGCGAGGCTGTGGGTGCCGGGAGTGAGCCGTAGCCCGTGGAGGAGAGTCACTCGGCGAGTCCCGCTGTTGGAGTGGAGGGAAGTGTCCGCCGTGGGGGCAGCTTGTGAGGAGCATGCCTTCCCTGTGCGCAGCCGCTCCCCAGTCTAACGTCCCAATCCCTCTGTCCTGTCGCAGCTGAAGTACACCCGCCCGGGGCTGCCCACCTTCAGCCAGGACGTGCTGTGCAAGTGGAAATCGGAGCTAAAGTCACTCGGCGAGTCCCGCTGTTGGAGTGGAGGGAAGTGTCCGCCGTGGGGGCAGCTTGTGAGGAGCATGCCTTCCCTGTGCGCAGCCGCTCCCCAGTCTAACGTCCCAATCCCTCTGTCCTGTCGCAGCTGAAGTACACCCGCCCGGGGCTGCCCACCTTCAGCCAGGACGTGCTGTGCAAGTGGAAATCGGAGCTAAAGAC